ACACACACACACACACACACACACACACACACACACACACACACACACACACACATGCTGCTGTCCTGCTCTTGGCTGAGGCCGGAGTGTGGGTGGCTGAGTGTTCATAAAATGAAGGCCTTCCCCTCTTCCCTCCCTTCCTCTGTTCAACACGTCTCTGGTTTCACAGTTAGCGCGGCGCTAACGTGGTGCGGACGCTCCTCTCTGCAGCCATGGCATTGTTAAAGTCATCTGGGACTGTTGCTAAATTTAAAAACCGACTCGCTTGGCATGAAGCGGGACACTCATCGGCGCGCACACGCAGAGTGTGTGACGTCGATGAGTTTGCGTGACGTCAGAAGCACGCTGTTTCTGTCTGGTTTCACGCCAGCTTCGTCGGCTCCTTCAGACTGACTGCGTCTTTTTAAGCTCCGGCCTTCTCCGCTCTCGACACTCAGATTTCTCTTTCTGCTTCCTTTCACCCTCAGCCTCTTGTCCACACACACACATGAGCAGTGGATGTTTTTGATTTGGGTCGGCTGCGACCACATTCCCTTCCTCCCACGCTCGTTCACATGTTCGACAGGAACACACACACTTGTGGTGTAAGACCCCTCATTCAAGCAAGTCAGAAAAGCTTGAACTGCTGAAAGAGTTACAGTTGTAATTCGTCGTTGGTGACTCGTTCCTGCACGTGTTTACATAAATAACCTGCCTCATATAGGATCTGCCGTGCCTGTTTTTTATGTGCCAGTCAAATATTTCTCCTGTGTGTTTGGATGCTGACTCAGCATTCAGGCATTTTTCCTCTTTATTGTTTCTTTCATATGTTTTTGTAATCAAACCACTTCTGGGTATTTTGTGCTCCTCTGACCATTTACATATAAAAACCTTTGGCTCCATTGGGTGTGCTGTGACTTTGGTATATTTTTGTATATTTTATACTTTAATTAGTTATTTTTTAATTGTTTATAATAACTTTTCCTCATATAAATACATTGATCTCTCTTTAATTCCTTCAAAATCGTATTTAGGAAACTGAATTTTTATGACATTCAACTACCACTTCAGCTACTGTTTTGCATGTTTTTAGCCTTTAGCAATGGTTTTCCATCTTTAGCTACTWTTTTAGTCAATTCAAATTTGAATCATTGTTCTGCTAAGTTGTTTTTAGCTGCCATCATGCTACTTTTAGCATTTATTTAAAGTTTAGATACTTTTAGCTATTATTCATAATTTTGAGACTTTTAGCTGTTACGTAGTGTTCTGCCGATTTTTGTTTTTAACAATGATTTTAGTAGCTTTTAGCAACTGTCTTGCTAATTTTAACTTTGAGAAAATGTTTTTGCTGGCCTGTTTTTAGCTACTTTTTACTTTTGAATACCTTTTGCGCTCCTTTTACCTTTTATTTATAGTTTAGTTACTTATATTGTTTAGAGGGTTTTGCTGATTTTTGTTTTTAACAATGATTTTAGTAGCTTTTAGCTACTGTTTTGGTAGTTTTAACTTTGGGCATTTGTTTTCCTGGTTTGTTTTTAGCTAACATTTCGCTACTTTTTACTTTTAAATGCATTTTGAGCCGCTTTTATTCTTTGTCTACTGTTTTGTTGCTACTCTTGGGTTTTAGGTGTTTTGCAATTTTTTGTTTTTAGTTATGATTTTAGCAGCTTTTGGCTACTGTTTTACTAATATTAACTTTGAGCCAATGTTTTTCTGCTTTATTTTTAGATAATATTTACCTACTTTTTGTTTTTAAATATCTTTTGTGCACTTTTTCACTTTTATCTGCAGTTAAGCTGCTTTCAGTTTTTATCTGTTGTTATACATTTAGCCTTTATGTGCTGCTGATTTCTGATTTTTAGCTATGATTTTAGTAGGTTTTGGCTACTGCTTTGTTACTTTTAGTTTTAGGTAGTGTTGGGCTGTAGCGGTAGCGGTAATTTATTTGCATTTTGCTACTGTTGTGCAGATTTAGCTTTTAGTTTCTGTTTTTGCTGTTTTATCCATCATTTTCATGCTTTTAGCTTTCATATACTGTTTTCCAATTTTAGTTTTTAGCTACAGTTTTAATAGTTTTAGTCTGCTGATATGGTTAAACAGTCAATTTGAACTTTGTCCTCTTCTGCTGAAACTGTTTTGTAAATTTGCYGTTTCTGTGTTTTCTTGTTACACATTATCCTGTATTTGCATCGACGCTGTATTTGCCTGATTTTCCTCTTTATCACTGGAGCTGAGGAGGAGCTCCCGTTCAGTTAAATATAAAGTCTCTGTTAGATCTGTGTGTCTGTAGAGGTGAATGTGTTGGCTTTGTAATACATTTCTGCTCACTTTTGTTTTAGCTTTATTTGCTTTAACAATAAGCCTCTAGCAGCTAACACCTGTTGTTGTTACATGTAGTTTTTGCGTCTCCATCGTCAGTAAAAAGACGACCAGTGAACAGATTCTAGTTTGCGTGTATACTGCACATTGTTTAAATTCTTTTTCCTTTGCATGCAGGGCAGTAAGTTGTGTCGATCCTGAACGGCAGCTTAGATTTTTGCATTATTGATACTTGAATGGTAGGAAGCCATCAC